AAGTGGTTATTATACATCATTATTATAATACTTGACTAAATTTGTACTAAGAGCGCGGGACATTTTATGTGGCCATGTGCCTGAATGTCTTTCTTCCTGTTCTACTTCCTGCCTTCAGTGCCAGATTCCTTTGGGCGGCACATCACCAGCCGTGAAATCAATTAGTGGGCCGAGGCTGCATAGTATAACAGCTCCCACCTCCATGAAATAAAGTGAGAGCAATTTCTGGATGGAACAAACAGCTCATGCGCTAATGTGATGGCTTCTTCAACCTTGCAGTTTGTCTCTTCTTTTGTCATTCACTTTGAAGGATCACAGTCCTCTATAGTAGATGAATAAAAACATTTCCTCGGGATATTTTGAAGCTGGTTGCTGGTAGAACCACTCTGACCGCCTCATGCTTAGACATACTGTATCGTGTCATGTTCAGAGGAAAAAAACAGCAGTCAAGGTTCAACCAAAGAGGATCAGGGTCTTCAGTTAATGAGCCCTTTTAAATCCTTTAAAAGAAAACACAACTGGCAGGTTAATAGTTAAACCTCAAAAATGTCTTTAATCTCAGTACAAGCTAAACATTCCACACGTGAAACTCAGTGCAAAGAAGCAACCAATGTAATCATCACACAAACACCTGTGATAATTCAGGAAGATTCAAGACAGCTGCCAGCTAGCTCTATAACACAATTCTTATCCAATTAAAATGCAAATCCTGATTTTAATCATCTCCTGCAACACAAATGTCTCATCAGTCTCAGGCAGTGGATGCAGTGATATTGGTATTTCAAGCTCTATATTCGATATTCAAGGCTGTCTAGAGACTGGAAAGCACAGTTCTGTTCATTTCGACTGTGCTAGGTAAAAATCCTTCAAGACCACAATATATAGTACAGTACCGTACATTGCTGGATATGTAGACAGAACCTAAATCTGTTATTCCTCCCTGCATTGCACTTGGCCATGCCGAATCCACTCATGTTAAGAAATCTGAAAACATATTAATACAACCTTAAGAATGCTAACAAAAGAAAGAAATAATACACTTCTGCCACTGTCAGCCCCTTCATCTCTTCAACTGATGGTCAGATTTCTGACTGTGGGACTTTGCTGTCATCAAACAGCTGTTTGATGCTGTCGAGGTGTGTGCTAATGCTCCAGTGCAGAACAAAGGTAATTCCTCCTCTGTGCAAATGCAAGAACAAAGTAATGTCAGATTTGTGGATCGTGTACACAAAGACCAAGCTGGATTAACTCTATGAGATCATTTTCTACATAAATGCCTGGAAGTATCACTTTTGTAATTGAACATGTGACTTGATGACTTGCATGTTAAGGAAGTGTTGCCATTTCATACTACTTCATACTTCAACAAGCATATTTTTTTTTATCAGAAATAAATACCGTACCTAATATTATAATAACTCCAGGCTGACCAGATAGACTTTAACATGCTGCTAACACATGACTACAAAAATCTAAATCTAAATACATTTTTCAGGTAGTACTAAGTGCTTCAGTTCATACATTTAATTACTTCCTATACATCAAAGATAAACAAAGCTGGTTGGATCAACAGTGGTTGTTCTACTCGGTGTTCCTACCAATAGAACTGGGAGTATGGGTCTCACAACTTCAGTCACTTTCTGAAACACAATTTGGCAATCACATTCATTTCACACAGTGTGTGAAGTTGAGAAAGTAAACAGGGTTTGAACTTCTGTTTAGCTTTCATTTCTGTCACGTTTGAGTGTCAACAGTACATGTATTCATCCTGAACCATTCAGCACAGGGATGCTGATTGCTGTACACCCCACGATTCCAAGAATTACTGTCCGAGGTGTGTGTACGTCCACACCTTCCTACAGCCAGAACCTGTGTGTTCTCTGCTCACACACAATCCACTGGCCACCATGTGAAGCTCACAGTGAGCCACTGCTCGCTGTGTCCCTACATTTTTTTCAACAAGATGGCTGTGTCCTCAGTGTTGTCAAAAACAGAGAACGGCAGCATTATGTTGTGCAGTTCTAAGGCTGAAAAGATTTAAGTTCATTCTGAATTTACTGCACTTGTCTAAATGGACATTTGATTTATTTATACTTTAGAGTAACCTGCCTTTTCCTATTGACAATAATAACTACGGCCAATGAGACACTTTTAAATATTTTCTTTCTTTTTTTTTTTTGTTTAAAGAAATTAAAATATTGCTAATTTAAACATTTCTTTTTAATCTTCTCATCTGTACTGAAAACAACCAGAAATTCTGTGTACTGTTGCCTTTAACAATATTAAGTACTGTTACGTTACGTATCTATTACAACAGCCTTTTCCTCATACCTTTAAGTGTGGCCATTTGGAGCATTTTTAAAGCTGTCCGTAAATCAGAATTTTCATAATCGACTCTACAAAGTATCAATAATGCCATGGCTACCTCCTGTTCCATAGAATGGGAAGGCTGGGAAGTACAAAATGTTTTTTTTGGACAAAACGTCATCATTATCTGAATTTCCATTTGTATGATGCGGTTACTTCTAGTGTGTATTTTTGTGCACTAAAAAAAGTACAGACATTGTATATTAAAGGTACTGCCCTGAAAAACAATGAAAAAATATATATAATTCTCGCTCCTTTATCATATACACTCAAATGTTATTATGCGATGTAAACGTGTGGTTAGTGACTATACACTTCTCTTGAGAGTCCTCCTGCCGCTAGAACTTGTTCCCGAAAGAAAGAATAGTATTTTGACTGCAAGTCTTTTAGATTTTAGAACTGCTCAGTGTCCTTCATTTACTTCATTGGTTTTACAAAATCACCTGTCCAAATATACATGTCTAATCATGTCATTCTCAACTCCACAACTGCCTGAGTCGTCTGTGGCCGTCTTTCTTTTTTCTTACCAAAAGCTTCTCCCCAGGATAGCAGCAAACAGTACGTGTTTTTACAGAGCCTTGCTCCTTCCACCTACCTCAGTAACATGGTTTACAGTTGAAATAATGATGGTGCGAGCAGCAACCTGCATGCATCCGTCAAATCATGTGCAGTGTTTTATTACCTTCCTTCCCACACTCCAAATGAAGGTCTGCTCAGCGAAATAAAAATACCACTTTTATTAGAACCAAATGATTGGCTTTAATGAAGCCACTGATTGAAGCAACAATTATTGGCGAATGAGTAAAAGCCAGGTGGATTACTAACATTTAATTTACTTGGGATGTGATCAATGTCTGTGACTTACTGGTGATGCTGATGCAAACTGCCTGACTCCACTGCAACTTTACGCCACTCCTGTGAGATAGACCTACTCTAATTGTTCCGTTTTATTAGATGCTCGTACACTCGCTACACAAACAAAGGCTGGCAAAAAAGCAGCTACTTGTTTTCTGCAAGTGAGGAAGCAGTCAATAAAAAAAATGGAGCTAATGAAGAGACACACTTCCACGCACTGATGAATGAGATGCAGTTAAAGGTAACACAGTTAATAACAGCTCATTTTTTTCAAAACAACTGATGTATCTCATATAGTGAGGTCTCACACAGACATGACTAAATATTGTAAGACTCCATGACAACAGCAGTATCTTAATAAGTATAAAAGACAGAGCTAAAAGGGTATAATGTGCTATCTGATACCTTCAACAAGGCTGTGTCTGGACTGAAGGTCTGCTGAATTAGAGGTCGTATCAGGCCACTGTGTGACACCTTTTCATTAGTGATCTTGTAAAATTGTTTTTTTTTTTACAATTCAGTGCATCAACCAAATAACTACAGCAGTATGTCTGCATGTTCAGAATGAAGGACTGTGTAGTTGTTTATTTGGATGATGGCAGGTCAATTCTGAAAAAAATCACAGATTTAGTTTTATATATTACCGGAAAATTGAAGTTAGAAGTATTAGCCGAATAATTTAAAATGATAAACCCAACTGAGGCATGTAAATGTGTGGTAGTCTACTTTGCTTCCTTCACATTTGGTAGTAATTTACAACTGAATATTAGATGCCATTAGATGTTGAGATGAACAACTTTATTAAACGACCACTTGTTGTTTTATTCAGAAGTTATGACCCACTTGCCTGTGTCGATCCTAGTCATGGTAATTCTACAAACTTCAGTAAAAAGCAACTGGATTTCTCCTTTTGGTTCTTGAAGACTGCTTCCTCAGAAATTAAGAAGCTGTTTGGATAGAGGTGGAACCTCTTCACCAACCAAGAAGAGGAGTCCATTTGCTTTTCGCTGAAACCTAATTTCATATGATACTCTGATTAAATCATGGATCCCCCATCAAACCCAACACACTCTTCATTTTAAGTGTCATTAACAAATAACCTCAGCTGACTGAAATCTATGAAATAATCCTGACCGAGGGCAGCCACAGTCTCCAGTAGCAGAGTGATGGTCGGACTGGTGCCACACTGAGGCAGATTCAGTTTCATTCTCCTGAGAGAGAAGTGCTGTTTCATTAAAACTGCTCTCTTTTTAATTAACACCAAGGGCAAGTTCGTGTGGCAGAAGTGTTTCCCTGCAGAAACCCACCACAGTCAAATTATAAAGATGCCCTCTCAACGCTGCAGAACCAACGACAGGCAGGCTGCCAAAAACATACAGGAAAATGTTCATATCTTTAAAATTAATGAGGTAATTATCAAACATGTTTGATAAGAGGAGGAGAACAAATACATGCAAGTTATTTCACTGTGACTTCATGATAACTTTCCTTCTGGTAATATTAAAAATAATGTATTATTATTACAGTCGTTACAAATTGACAAGGCAGTTAGCTGGCTTTAAAATACCAAATTAGTATTTATTATTTATCTACCAAACACATTTTTTTTTAAAGGGAAGAACGACACTGTGGCGCCATTACTGCTAGCTTAAAATTCGTTAACTTTTGAAAGACTGTTGGTTTGGCTAAGTGTATGTAGTGAAAACATGTGACATAAAAAGCAGTAAGAAGCATGTTGCTGGTCGAGGATAAACTAGCAGGACATGTATTGGACTCACCTCACTGCTGTGAACTTGGAGTAAACACTAGTAAAAAAGCCGCTTGTCGCTGGTGTCGCCCTCAGCTCAGCTCAGGTCCAGCACAGACAGATGTTTGAAACTTTTATGCTGCTATATTCTCCCCACGCCGGTTTGTCTGAGCGCAAAAAAACCAAAACCAAAAACGCAGAAATACGACGCAGCTCCTCCTCTCTTTTCCCATTTACAGAGCTCTGTCCTAACCTGTGGACCTGTGGACGGACGGCAGCTCTCTTGACAGCCACTCACCTCTCCGGCGGGTCCGAGCAGAGGGCTTTGTTCGTGCGGGAAGCTGCGGCTCAGAGCTGCGGACACTCGGCGGAGCTTTTCTTCACTAGTTTAAATGCAGCTGGGATTCACGCCTTCTCTGACGTCACTGGAGGGGGGGCGTGGCTCCGGCCTGCAGTCAGGATGGTGCTGCTGGAGACAGGTTTGGCTCAAAGCAGCAGCAGACTGGAGAAAATGATCCACCCTCATGTTCTGTTCATCTTTTACTCATGTTCCTGGCATGTACCTTTTTTTTTACAGTCCGCACTGATGTATTTCATGTGCCTAAGCTCATACCCAACATCTACTTATGAGTCTGTTATAAGAATTTAGCTTCAAGTTCCTTATGATTTTTCAGAGGCTTTGCCAGGTCTCTGAGACTTTATTGTGCTGCTGAAACAAGTAGCTGACACAGTGCACATAAGGAAATCTTATGTCTGCACTTTCTGAATGAGTAGATTGTTATCTAGATGAGAGGACAAAGCAAACTGACTGTGTAACTGTCCTACCTGTACTCTTAATCTCTCTGCTGACACGTTTGTTGTGCATTTGAACTTTGAACAACCCAAACAAATGTCCATCCAGCCATTACCCAATACACCGCTTTATCTTCACAAGGGTCACAGGGAGCTGGAGTCTATCCCAGCTGACTTAGGGTGAAGGCAGGGGACACCCTGGACAGGTCACCAGCCTATCACAGGGCTACACTTAGAGACAGACAACCAAGCACACTCACATTCACACCTACGGACAATTTAGAATCACCAATGTTTCTGGACTGTGTAGGAAGAAGCTGGAGAAGAGAACCCACACTGCATGGGAGGAACATGCAAACTCCACACAGTCCTCACCGGGATGCGAACTGGCGACCTTCTTGCTGCGAGGCAACGGTGCTAACCACTGTACCACCTTGCAGCCCCCAAACAAATGTTCCCACAATAATTACCAACTAAATATGCCAAAACAAAACAAACATTTTAAGGTTTACCCATATAAGACAGTAATTTGCCAAGACTTAAATTTTTTTTTTAAAATGCTGTTTTGGGGCTGAGGAAATAAATAATACATCGTTTTTAAAAATGAGTTTTTATTGGTTAACCCGACAAGAAGGACTTCTTAGTTTTAGGGATTTTTCTGTACTTTGCTAAGTTGTGATTAAAAAATGACACACAAAAAGTTTTTATGTCTAGCTGAGGTGAATAGCTTGGATTGTTGCTAAAAGTTAAATGCGACAAAGTGAAAACAGGCTTACCAATTAAATAACAACATACATGAAGCACATTACTTCAATGTACAAAGAATCTGCCAAAGGAAAGATCTAAAGTAACAGAAGAAAACCAGTCTGTGAGGAGCAATGATGAAACTGTGACCTCTAACGCAATAATTAAAACTCACAAAAAAATGCCATATTTCTATCATTCTTTTTCATCGTTCAAGGTTTGACTGGCTGTTTCAATTATCATCTCATTGTACCCTCTGTTTGCAGTGGTTTAATGGCAGCTGACTGGAGAATTAGTTCCACCAGCTGTTTATCTCAGTGAACCAATATTCACATAATGGCAGCAGATGGAAATGAGACAATTTTCTCTAAATTTTGTTAAAATCTGCATTATTTGGTTAGAGAGACAGCTATTTTTTTTTTTTTTCAAAAATGCACAAGCATCTACTTTCAGGGAGATAGCTCAGAAAAATCCACTGTACAGAAGGACCTGCTGTAGAACCCAAGAAAGGCAAGCTGCCAAAAATATATATGAGAACAATTATTTCAGCTAGTATTTACCAATAAACTGTAACTACCAATATCTGAACAAAAAGGGGGAAAACATATTGTGGTGCCATTACCACTAATACTACAATACAAGTCAGCAACTACCTGCCTGAACACGGTGGAAAATTTTGCAGCTAAAAAGACAGAAGAGCCAAAAGCAGAATTAAAAGAGACAGTAAAAGATGAACTTCTATTTATCATGGAATCAGAGTTAGAATAAATGATAAGGATTACAATAATGGTTTCTTTTCTTTTTTTAAAAGGATGTGTTGAAGCACAAGAAGCAAACTGTAGACTTTTTTTATTCTTTGTTGCCCCCACTGCATGTATTGAAAGAAAAGAAGACAATAACAAAAGAACAAGAACTCTCGTATGGCATTATATAGGATTAAGCGTTAACAAATTCTCTTTTGATTAGCATAAGTGCATCTTATATGGATACACACGTTTTTAGGGCTGTAGCGCTGTATGAAGCTTTTTATAACCAAAGGGGGGCTCAGGGGAAAACTGTCCTAACCACAATGTCAGTTCCCTGTCAACACCTTTAATTATGTGGTTATTTATAGTGCCCTCTGTGCCTCTTGTGGCTTAACTAAGCCTATAGCCTGAACCACAGTCATACATCACAACTGCAGAGGTCTGTAATAAACACAACAGAGGTTTAGCGTCTGGCATAGTGCTGCTCGGGGATACAGAGTCTCAGAGGTTATCTGGTCATGTTAATGCTCTTATTAACCAGAATAGGCTTATATGTAAAGACATCGGGGAACTTATCTGTTTAGTTGATTGGCAGGAAGAACAAAGCGCAGGTGAAACTGACTGTGTTATTTGCTCCAGCTGCAAACAGCTGAGGTGACTATAAAACTTTAAGATCTGGTGTGGCTCATCACATCCAAACATATTTGCATATTATATTAATAAACTTAGTATACAGGATGGAATCTGGTGATTGTTTTCATGTAACAAGGAAACTGAGATCCTTAATCATTACCACATGCAGTGGTCTTGTATGTGTCCTCTGAGGTTTCAACTAAAATTTGTAGGGTCTGACCTCTGCTGGACAAACTGCTAACATGCAAGACTGAATGCATTCCACTGTGATGGTGGTAATCTCATCTATGGAACTAATGCAGTAGTATTTTAGCTGCACCAAATACAACTCAACACTCTTCTCTCTCTCTGGTGGTAACTGTTAGTACAGTGATGGCAGAAGCTCCCAAGCTGCAGAAAGAGATCTCCAGAGGCAGTCCGTTCACAGTCAACTCAAGGTAATTCATTAATATAACAGGTTTCCAATATTTCTATCATCAAAATTAAATTTAAAAAAATTCAAATTAAAAAAGTTTGTTAGTTTCTACACAATCACTGAAGGTTAAACATTAAGAGCAGGGAGGAGGGGAAGGAAAGTGGAGGACGAGGGATGGGGGGTGGGAGGTTGGACGGAGTTTGGGGAGTTTGTTACTGGGGTTTAAAGTTCAACTGTAACCAAAAGTTTGTCATTCATTAAGTGAACATGTTGCAGCTGGAAATAAGAAATTAATGATAAAAAAAATACATAATATACATACAGACAAACATAACGCCTGTAGCTGTGACGGACACTCCTGATTAAGGGGGGAGGGTATAAAAAAAGAAGCCAAACAATGGGACGCCCTCACCACCTCACCAGAAACGTCACCATGGCAACGTCAGACTCATTGCTTGCATCTGTAGACTGATGAGCTGCTTTGTTTTGTCCATAGACCCTATGATCAAATAATATCTAAAACCACAAGAATGATACAAGGTGAATCCGACATTTATTTATGCATATAGGAATTTGGATTCTAAATTGTCCGTAGGTGTGAATGTGAGTATGAATGGTTGTCTGTCTCTAAGTGTAGCCCTATGATAGACTGGCGACCTGTCCAGGGTGTCCCCTGCCTTCGCCCTAAGTCGGCTGGGATAGGCTCCAGCCCCCCCCCCCCTNGTTTGATACTGGTGTTTAAGTTCAAATGTAACCAAAAGTTTGTCATTCATTCAGTAAACATGTTGCAGCTGGAAATAAGAAATTAATGATAAAAAAATACACAATATACATACAGACAAACATAAAGCCTGTAGCTGTGAAGGACACTCCTGATTAAGGGGGAGGGTATAAAAAAAAGAAGCCAAACAATGGGACGCCCTCACCACCTCACCAGAAACGTCACCATGGCATCGTCAGACGCATTGCTTGCATCTGTAGACTGATGAGCTGCTTTGTTTTGTCCACAGACCCTATAATCAAATAATATCTAAAACCACAAGAATGATATAAGGTGAATCCGATATTTATTTATGCATAAAGGAATTTGGATTCTAAATTTTCCGTAGGTGTGAATGTGAGTATGAATGGTTGTCTGTCTCTAAGTGTAGCCCTATGATAGACTGGCGACCTGTCCAGAGTGTCCCCTGCCTTCGCCCTAAGTCGGCTGGGATAGGCTCCAGCGACCCTAATGAGGATTAAGCGGTGTATAGATAGATATAGGAATTTGTGGGTCTGCACCAAGTCAATCAATGTCAGGGAGAGATCAGTTATCTCCCTTTTTCTGGTGATCTTTTAACTTAACACATTCTGCGATTTAGTTTGACATGTGAAGTCAGTGAGGAAAACACGGGTGTGAGGGTTTGATCTGAAATACTTGACAATGTAGAAAGGCGGAACTCTCACACTTGTACGTTGTGTCTTCCACGTGCACCCCCTTCCAAAAACACCACGTGAGAATGTGCCATATAATCCTATGATCAAACCACTTCCTGTAAAACAAAGATTTATTTTGACAGAGAATATTTTCATTGTTCAGGTGTATTACTGCCACCTACTGAACTAGAGTTACCTATAGATTTGCGAGATCTCACAAAAGATACCTCTATTTTGTTTTCTCTCACCCTGTTTTCTTTCTTTCTCCATGCCCCTTCTGAGGCTCCGTAAAATAAGGTATTTCAACAAACCTTTGTGTTATTTTTAATTTCAAGTCCAGGTTTTAAATTTTAACTGCAAATGTGTATCTCTCAAAATAACAACTATGAGTCTCCTTGAGTAATAATCAGCAGTACTGGACCTGAAAAAACAAAGTGAGGCACCTCTACTCAGTAGGCAGTTGGCTGTAATGAAGGGTTTTCAGCAGAATGTAAAAGCCATGTTGATCAGTCTTCTGGCTTGTTCTACATCTCCACAGCACAAATCAATTTGCTGCTTGCAATGCTAAAATTGTGACTTTCACACTCCATTGCTGCTTTGTGCCAGGTTCTAGGAACTATCTTTGTGAATCTCTTGTTATCCTTTCCACTTTCTTTTGTGACATTTTGTGACTGTAATAGGCAGCACTGATGCATATTCTAGACTGAAACTATGAAAAGTATTCACAGTTCAGTCTATACTGATTTACATTGAGGTGAGTTTTTAAAAACAAACACAGTATTGAAAAATTCAATACCCAGTATGCAGAAGTGAGTGTACCACTGTGCATTGTCACTAAAATGTCAAACTATTCAAAATGATATCACCTTACAGAAATGACATTATTTCTGAGTCAAACAGTGGGGTGTTTGTTCTGATGGACAGTCAAAAACAAATACTTTAGAAGGACTACATTTAAAATATAGGCAAAATACAAACTCAGTGGAACAAAAATCAATACACTTGTAATCACTATTCACCTGTAATACACCTGTGATTTACAGAATAATGGCATTAACATGTTTGTGGGCTGTGAAGAGAAGAACTTCCTTAGTTTTGAACATATGGGCTGTTTCTGTCTGGATGTCTGTGTCATGGCTTTATCTGGAAAAGAATTACCAGAGTAACTAAAACATGGAACATAGAAATAAGGTATGCAGTCATATTGGTGATCATCTAAAAGTCAGCGGAAACACAGTTGCAGCAGTATTCAAGAAGTATAAAATGAGTCATAGTACCACTAATCAGAGCTGCAGTCCTAAATTGACACCATGGATAGTGTGCTACTTGTACAGTTTTGTTTGAAAAACAGATGGGCAAGTCCTTTGGATTTGGCACAGGTGTGCCAATGGAAATTCAATGGAAATTAGAATGTGTGTGACAGTGGGAAGGACATTGTGTAGCATCAATGTCTATGAATGGCATTTAGAAAAATACTCTTGCTTGCTCTCTGTTACAAAACTGCGGGATGAAACTTACCTTAAAAAAACTTTTTTTTTTTTTAAAGCCTGATGAATAGTATATTCTTTGGTCAGATGAGACCAAGATAAATTTGTTCAGCTCAGATGGAATCCAGAATATTTGGCGTGGACCTGATCCAGACTACCCCAGTGAAGTCCTGGCAGTGAAGCACAGAAGTGAGAGTGAGGTGTACATGATTAGATAGCATCATGAATACCTGTAGATATTCAAATTGCTGGCTGACACTGGTATCCCCAATGACGAGGAGGATATTGTGGATCATCCAAAATAAATGTAAATGTGGGGCGCTGCTTTTGCTCACCTGGTTGAGCTGGCGTCCCAGGTATAGGGGCTACAGTCCCTGATGTGGAGGTCATGAGTTCAAATCCCGCTCATGGCCCTTTTCCACAGGTCCTTCCCCCATTCTTCTCCCCCACCTTCCTGTCTCTCTCTCTCTCTCACTGCACTATTGAATAAAGGCTAAAAAATAAAGATAAATGTGTGAAGTACTGAAAAAATAATAGATTAGAATCCCAGTTAGGGAAAGTGTACTGACCTCTGTTGCATTAGTTCCCCACTGTGAAGCCTGAATTTTTTCTAGAGTAACTGCTAGCTTTTAATTGTACATCACAAAAACACCCCGTTTAAGTTAGAAGTAATGCATTTACTTTAAGGTGGTACAATGTTGAACAATTTGACGTTTACGTTAGTCACTGTGTTGCAACACTGGGTGGTTGTTGGACTACACACTCCATACTGTAGAGGGCAGTGTGCATCTTTTTGACAGCTGCAACCCGCTAATAACCAGCAGAAGAAGTCAACATGCAGCTAACTGTTTGTTGTGATTCGATTAAACAGCCTTCATAGGGGAAGAGGAGGCGGCTGGACAGAACTCAGGGTGGGAATATTGCTGTGGTTACCTCCTTTATTTTTTTAGTAAATACTCGGGTATCACTGGGTATATTATAGACTCATATCGCCGTAGACGCCTGACTCGGTAAATTAGAACACCTCGGAAGTTGCCCTTTAAACGTTTTAGGAGAGAAGCGCTGAAACAACCAGCAGCAGACTGTGAGTATGAAAGCTAACATCGCTGGAACTTCACTTCCAACTAAGAGCTGTTGTGGTTTATGTGTTGTGGTTTACGTGCTAGCTTTGTTAGCACGTATTTGGTAAGTGGACGTAGCCAGACTTTGACAAGCTGCGACGGAGAAGCTTTACAGTGTCAACCGTGTTATCATTGGTGGAAAGCACCGGCGCTACCCATCAGTGAAGCGACTTACACACAGCGAGCTATCGTCAGTGTTGTTGCTATCGAGGTTAGCATATGTAGCTTAACGGTGGCGGTTACAAAATGCAAAGTGCTGGGTTTATCGTGTTTTCTGGAGCATCTATGCTAGCTGCGCTGTGTAACGTCGGCTACGTAGTTTACGGTCATCCTCCCTCCCCTTCCCCACATCCACACCCACCAGGCCTGCTACCTCCCAGCCAGCCGGAAACACAGGCACCGGCTGCGGGGAGTAATATGACTTAGATCAGATGTCAGTTACAGCTAAATATGTTTAATTTGAATATTTAAAGACTGTTGGGTCCTTCCAGGTCAAGTCCCCTAACTCCTCCTGTTCATATCATGGATTTGATTGGAAAAATTCACGTGAAAAACCTTGTCAAAGCTCTGACATGTTTACTGTTTGTTATTGAGGCCACAGTGGGTAGTGTGGATTAGTCATTGCGTTTGTATGTAAAGAATTCAAACACATTGAATTACTCTAGCATTTAACAGTTTTCAGTGAACAAGCATTTTTTTTTGCACTTTCAACACTGACAACAACAAAAACTGAAAATGTAGAAGATTCCTCAAACAATTTATGGAAACTCTGTTGCATTGGATTGCATTTGATTTCACTGTTGTGTGAATCACAAAGGCCAGTGAATGTAGGTATTACACAGAGATGGAAAAACGTGAAGTCAACATAGTGCAAACAGCTACCTATGAAATATCATCATCATCAGCTAATATGAAAAAGCATTAAATGATGAAAGAGTACTGAAACATCTTGCGATTTTATTTAAATTAGTTTTTTAGATGTATTTGCAATCAATATTAACACTTTTTAATACACTGCCTTTCAAAGAATTTATAATAATCCATCACAGTACCGTAAGAACTGTATTTTTCCGCTCAGAAGCTATATTTATCAAGATCTTTGGCAGTCAGTTTTTTGTGCAGGACCAAATAACATCTAGATAAGATAGAACTGTTAGTTGCAAGAAAGTGAAAGCTATTGCAGAAATTATTTTGGGGGAATTTACTATTTTTTGTAGAAATCTATTTATCACTGATAATTTGGTAGTGGTGCTGCAAGTGGGTAGCACTGTTGCCTCGCAGCAAGAAGGTCGCCGGTTCGCCATTTCTGCGTGGAGTTTGCATGTTCTCCCCGTGGGTTCTCTCCGGGTTCTCCAGCCTCCTCCCACACAGTCCAAAAACATGTTGAGGTTAATTGGTGATTCTAAATTGTCCATAGGTGTGAATGTGAGTGTGCTTGGTTGTCTGTCTCTAAGTGTAGCCCTGTGATAGACTGGTGACCTGTCCAGGGTGTCCCCTGCCTTCACCCTAAGTCAGCTGAGATAGACTCCAGCCCCCTGCGGCCCGAGTGAGGGTTAAGCAGCCAGCACAAGTCACCACACAGCTTGTGTTGCTTTTTCAGTCTCTTTTGTTTTGTCAATTCCTTCTTTGAAATGATTGTAGATGTTGAACAGAACTGTATACAGACCATGCCCAGAAGGGCCGGTCTTCTGCTGGCTGCACAAATACCACTAATTCTCCCATTATGCCACAGTGTGGGTAACATGTGGTTAAGTTTTTACCATATAGCAGCTGCAGGCAGTGTTGACTTTCAGTATTTACCAAACATAGGTCCAAAAGAGTAATTCATTAGATCTGTAACAACTCAATAAAAGGTGGCCCTCTTGTAGGAATGCATATTTGTTATTGCTTTTTCCAATAGAGCACGTAGAAATGTGAACCTCACTCTCATCACCAGTGTTTCCAGACTCTGCAGGCAGCAGCCAGACATCTTCAGCTGTACAGCTCTGGTATACCCACTGCTTATTACCTGCCCAGCACCAAACAGCAGAGAGACAAAGTTCCCAAGTAGCTGGTGAACATGCTGGAGAGTTTAGCAGAAAAGACGGATATGTTTCACATGAGCAATGAGTGAATAATGATCTGATAGATGTGTAGTCAATCAGGTGATGACACTTTAATCCACACTTTAAATGGTGATAAAATGTCAGATGTCTTGTTCTAAGCTGGTTCTGCTGCCCTGAAATGGACAAAATATCAATTAAATCAGTGCTAACCAGTGTAAGTTCAACATTTCATGGTGCTTTTGAATCAGTAGTTCTGTGGAACTTAAAATGGGTTATTTGGTTACATGTTCAAGTTATACTGCTCCATCTGATTAGTCCTTATCATCTACACTTTTCCATTTTGTAGGCAGTGTGGTCGGTGTCTTCCAACGTGTTCATCAGGCCTCTGGAGTGTCTTGTTGCAGTGGAGGTCGATTAGGGAAACGCAGCATTCAGACGGACAGCAGGACAGGCAGCACTCAGGATGCCTCTGTTCTTCAGGAAGAGGAAGCCCAGTGAGGACTCCCAGAAGAGACTGGAGTATCAACTGTGCCGGGTAAAAAGAGTCCCTCATAGCCTGAGAACACCCTGCTGCTGGTGCTGCATCACCAGCCAGTGTGATGCTGCTGCTTTTATGATCATGATCAGGAGATTATACAAACCAACCCTTTAACTGATTTTTTTCCTCAGTCTAAGGAAGCAGGTGCTGATGACATCCTGGACATCTCAGCTTGTGAGCTCTCAGAGGTGAGTATGTGACTGTCTGTAGGTGTGAGGCTAGCTGATTCCTGTCAGTGATTTAAAAGCTTTAGGTATATTACAGAGCAAGCTTAGTTCAGCCTTTTTCAGACATGGGAAATGGAACATTGCTGGCTTCATCAGTCTTAAAATTAGAGCATATTGTTGTTTAGAAATAGGTCACTTTCCTACTCCCTCCTCATGGCTTTATTCAGACTAACTCCTCACAATGGTGGGGTGA